CGGCCTGGGGATCCACCGTTGGGGAAAACGCCGGGTTTTCCAGAAGAAAGGAGTTGTCGCACCCCCAGGGGCCAGAGTGGTTTTCCTGGGCGCCGCTGGACCCTCCCGCCTGCGGTGCTGCCCAGGGCTGGACGTGCGGGCGGGTGGCGTCAAGGCTCAGGAAGAAGGGCCACCTTCCCCAATGCGGCATTTACCCCCCAACCGCCCAAAAGCACTGGTGGCCCCGCTGCACTGTCCCCCACGTCACTGTCACCACTTGTGTCCTCTCAGATGCCAGCAGCCACCACGGCCATGTACCGGGCACGGTGCAAGGAGGGGGCACAAATCATGTCTTTTAACCTCCCCAGTAGCACCGTGAGGCTGGTGTCATCGTAACAGCCGTGTTATGGTCAAGGAGGCGGGCACCAGGGAGGTACAGGAACCCCCCCCCCCACAGGCCAGTAGCTAAGAAGTCTCCCTGCTATCAGAGCGTTACCCTTGCCAGGGGTCCCGTCCCTCAGTGTCCCCTAACTGTGGCAGAGTAAAGGAAAGGCAGGCTCACGGCCAGCCCAGACGCTGCTGTCCTCGTTCAGAAAGTCCAGGCGTCCGTTGAGCTATTGGTCACACCCCTCTTTACCTGGGGGTCTCAGGTAGGCAGCCTGGCAGGGTTTCCGGGGTGTCAGAAGAGCCCCTCTTCAGCCTGCCCACCATCGTGGATTTGGGCCTTTCTCTGGTGGCCCCTCGTAAAATGCAAATATCCCAGGGGCACCTGGGCGGCTCAGTCGGGTGGGTTTCTGACTTTGGCTCAGGTCACGATCTCGCAGTTCGTGGGTTCGAGCCCGGAGTCAGGCTCTGTGCTGACAGCTCAGAGCCCGGAGCCTGCTTCGGATTCTGTGTCTCCCTCTCTCTCTGCCCCTCCCCAGCTCGTGCTCTGTCTCAAAAATGAATAAACGTTAAAAAAAATTTTTTTAGGGGCGTCTGGGTGGCTCAGTAGGTTGAGCGTCCGACTTTGGCTCAGGTCACGATCTCACGGTTTGTGGGTTCGAGCCCCGCGTCGGGCTCTGTGCTGACAGCTCGGAGCCCAGAGTCTGCTTCGGGTTCTGTGTCTCCCTCTCTCTCTCTCTGCTCCCCCCCCCTGTTCACACTCGGTCTCTCTCTCAAAAATAAAATAAAGATTAAAAAAAAAAATCTAAAAAAATTTTTAATGCAGATATCTCTACAAAGGGCAACATGTTGTAACTCTCATACCTTGGTTCCATTACGTGGCATGCCACCCTACTACAGACCGTAAACATCTCATTACAGACACCGGGAGTGAAAAGCAGCAGCCAGGGGTGGTAAGGGAAGGTGGCCTTCGGGAGTCATTGCTTTAATAAGAATACAATTTTGCTTGAACTCAAGCCTTTACTGAGTATTCTAGGTGCCGGGCATTTTGCGGAGTTACAGGCCTGTAGAGTGTGGTCAGAATTGGTTTCTACATGAGGAGATTTGAATATGGACGGTGTATTGAATAACGTTATGGGATCATTGATTTTGTTAGGCGGTTATGTAGGGAAAGGACCTTATGTTTTTTAGAGATGCTTTTACTGAAATATTTAGAGATGTCCTAATGTCTGCAATTTACTTTAAAATACTTTGGCAGGAAGTAGATAAAGCGAATATGGCAACACAGTAACGATTGTTAAGTTTAGGTGATGGGTGTATGGGGTTCGTTATATTATTTTCTGTACTTCTCTGTATAGTTGAAAATTTTCATAAGAAGAAAGCTTAAGGAAAAACAAAGCTTTCCAGTAGCTCAGAATCCATGTTCTACCGCAAGGATGACAGGCTCTGTGGTAAGCATAATTCTAAGATGGCCCCTGACTCCTGACCCTGGTACACATGCTCTGTGTGATTCCCTGATCTCCAGTGTGGGAAAGACCTGGAATATGATGAGATTTTACTTCCATGATTAGGTTATATGGGCAAAGAAGGATTTTACAGATGTAATTAAGATTCCTGATCCCTGATTTTGAACTAATCAAAAGGAGATTGTCCTGGGTGGGCCTGGCCTAATCAGGAGAACTCTTTGCAGGAGAGATTACAAGCAGTACCAGATACTCTCTAGTTGACCTTAAGAAAACAGAACTTCCATGGTGGAGAGAGGGCCCAGTGGGTAGCCTTTTCTTGCTGAGGGCCTCAGTCCTACCACAAGGAACTAAATTCTGCCAACAACTGTTAAGTTTGGAAGGAGACTCTGAGCCTCAGAGGGTTCAGCAGTTATGGCTGACACACCGACCACAGCATTGGCTGACCCTGAGCAGACCCAGCTGATTCATGCCTAGTCTCCTGACCGATGGAAACCGTGAGGTAATAAATGTGTATTGTTTGAAGACAATAAGCTTGTGGTAACTAGCTACAAAGCAACAGAATACAAATACAGCTTTTTGCTGTTGAGGCAGATCTAATTGATGAGAAATAGTACTGGGTTGGAAAGGATTCCAAGACTGGGCCTGGCTTCCCTGGGTGAGGAGAATGGTGGTCGATTAGCAACGCCTGCATGGGCACGGGGGTGCAGAGTTGATTAGCAACGCCTGCATGGGCACAGAGGTGCAGAGTTGATTAGCAATGCCTGCATGGGCACAGGGGTGCAGAGTTGATTAGCAATGCCTGCATGGGCACGGAGGTGGAGTTGATTAGCAATGCCTGCATGGGCACAGGGGGTGCAGAGTTGATTACCAATGCCTGCATGGGCACGGGGGTGCAGAGTTGATTAGCAACGCCTGCATGGGCACAGAGGTGCAGAGTTGATTAGCAATGCCTACATGGGCACGAGGGGTGCAGAGTTGATTACCAATGCCTGCATGGGCACGGGGGGTGCAGAGTTGATTACCAATGCCTGGATGGGCACAGAATTGCACAGTGGTGGCATGTGTATCTCCTATTGCCATTCAAGGTCCCTTTGTGAATTTTGGGGAAAAGGTTATTAACTTATTTTTTTCTCAGTAACAGAATCACCCCAAGGGTTACCCTTGGGTCTCTGAGTCAGAGGGGATGCTGACCTGTGAGAAAAGCCTCAGAGAAAGGGGACAGAAAAAGTTATCAAAGACAGAGTTTAGCAACTGCAAAACAATGTCTAGGGCCAGCCTTGTAGGCTGGTGTTTGCACTGAGAAACTTCTCCATTGTTCTCGCTTCAGCGTCCTCACTCTTTTCCCCTTTCCACGGCCTCTACTCCCCGGCCTTCAAACACGCACAGGTGTTCCAGGGGTTGGCAAAGTCAACCCCAGGCAAAGTCACTTGATCCGCTGCTGATTCTGACTCACACTGACTCTAACACGGCGGGCCTCTTGACCACTCTGGAGGAATGTCAGAAACCCACCCCCCACCTTCCTCAGACGCTTATGCCAAAGAGGTCAGGACCAGCCTGCTTAATGTCAAACCTGGATTAAGCATTTGTTAACACCTCATTGTTTCGTATTAAAACCATGCAGAAACCTTCTCCCAAAGTCCAGGTGTTCGTCCCATGATTTAAGTACGATCGCTGTCACGAAACCGGTCCTTCTCCCAAGTTCTTGCCTGTGGAGGGAAGGCTGCCCCACCCCCACCCCATCGCTATGCAACAACACAGATCATACTCGACCCTTTCTCAGCGACACGCCCCACACCGGAGGTCTTGTCCGAAATCGGCGGGACCACAGCTCTTTTCCCCCACGGACACAGAACGAAGGCTCGCAAAAGCCAGAGTCCGAACTTGAGAGGTTCAGGTGAAAGAAACAGATAAGAAAATTGGTAACGGCTGTTCCGTTACATTAAAGATTCTGCTGCGTGCAGTTTCTTGCACGTGGGGTGCTATTTGAAACCCAAGCAGCCCAGCTGGGCCCCCCACGCTAACACATCGTCACCGTTTGCCATTTATCCTCCAAAACCCCTCATTCCTCTTAATTCAACCGTCTTCACCGGGGGCTCTAACACGTAAGAAAGTCTCGCCAACATCTAATGACCGTGTGATGGGCCTTCAGCGAGAGCAACACCCAGCCCTTAAACCGGGGCCCGGGGGTCCACAGCGGTCACACTCTGTGTCACGGCCTACTGTCCGCTGGTGAGTATTTAAAGAGTTAACGGCTCGTGTTTAGACTTGAGGGCTTGGACTGAGAAACTAGCATGTTTTTGTTTTCTGGAAAAGTCAGGAAACCTGGCCACGCGGGCCTCCGTTCCTCATGAAAACAACGTGACGACAATATGGTGCCGTCTTCTGGGGGGCACACGTGTTCCCCATTTACCACAGTCTCTACCGCTCCCTGTTGCCTCTTCAGGCCGAGGCCGGAAGTCACTGACGCTCGTCATCATGGCTTTACTGTTGTTTTTCTCATGACAAAGACGAGCGCTGTGAAAACAGCCCTTGACCCACTCACGTACCTCGGCAGCCTAGCCCCTCGATTTGAACTTGCTGACACGTGGGGTTAAATGACCCTCCCCGGCAATAGACCCACACCAGTATGGTACTTATTGGGGGGTGATGGTCCTGGCATATATTAGGAACGCTCTTTCTTTCTCAGATTACTTCAACACTGAACTCTCCCTTTTGGTTAGCGTTTCTGTCAACTCAAGGGGAACCTCAGTGAGAGTCTGATAATTTAGGAAACACACGACTGGTCCTTTAACGGAAACGTGACTCACCCGAGTCTCACCCGCTCTAGCTACCTGCCCGTTTGATCGGACATCTGGCGCCTGGCCCCCCTGTAGTAAACGAAAGTTCCAATTCACACAACCCCTTGACTGGTGTCAATACTCATTTGTAGTTTCCATCTAGATGCAGAAATAAAGAGAGAGGCCCTCTCTCTCTCACCTGCTACTTGAAACAAGGCATATTTTGTTACCTCTGATTAGGAGGCAGCTACAGGAAGGAAGGGGGAAGGAGGGGAGGAGGAGGAGGACTAAGGTCTTGGCGAGAGGGTGCCCTGGACGAGGAGGGGGCAGGGAGGGGTGCGGAGGGGAGGCCAGCACGGAGGAGGGGCGCAGGCCACACCCTTGGGACACTCACGGTTGAGCTGCCTTCTCCGGATCCTGTCCCTCCATGGCCTGCTTCTGACCCAGTGTAATCGTGAAGGTAGCACCATGGTCCCGGCCTGAGCCTTCTACAACCTTCTCATGGCAAGGAGCAAAAGGGCGCCGGGGGATACGGAAGCCAAGTCCACTCGTATCAAAGAAAAAAAAAAAAGCACCCCAAACACAAACCGTCTTCTCTTTTTTGTATCTGAGGCTTCCGTTGACTTCTTTATCTTCTAACTTGCGTTTTCCTTTCCTTCCCTTAGCTCCCCGCTGGCCCGAAGGCGGCTGCCGGGCCGCGGGGCCGAGCCTCTCCCGGCCTCCTGTGCCATGTTTTATGCATGAAGATGATGGGGCGGTAATTTATTCTGGAGGAGCTCCTGTGTCCGCCCCGCGTCACGGCAGCCGGGCGCTGGCTGGGGGAGGGCAGGTGGCGGGTCGGGGCCCTCACACCTCGGGGCACTTGATTTATTTACTGTTGGGTCTCTGGCACCAGGCACAGGGCGGCGAACAGCACACAGTTGGTGAATGGATGCCCGGTCCCGTGATAACCGACGTGAGGACTTCTTTGTGCCCCCAGGAGCCCTTTGCTCCAGTTAAGCTGCTGGCTCCCTGCCTGCTCGAACCTTCCCGCCCGTGTCTCTCCCTGTATTCCCCGCCCCCACCCCCCCCACTGGAAATCTTGTTTTCCTGTGAAGCATTCCTGAACCCACATTGACGGGGCCAGCCCCCCTGCACCTGTGCCCCTCACGGCCCTCGTCCGTTAGAGCTCTTCTCTGTTCGCTGGTTTGTTTTAACGTGCGTGTCCCAAAGGGAGGCAGCTTCTCGGTAGCAGGAAGTATAGTCCTTTCCCCGAGCTGCCGCGTGCCGCGGTGCGCATGGGAAACTGGTGGCATGAAGGAGTGGCTGGGACAGTCGGCCTCCCCGATCTCCGTAGCCCCTCCTCAGGCCACCCTGAATGAAGACACAGTGTAAGTAAATACACTGTGTGGGTGATAAAATCGCAGCCTCACGCGGGGCCCGCAGGTGCGGCCCCTCCAAGCAGGTGGCTTTCTGGAACCGCCCTCACGCAGACGTGGCAGAGCCTCGCCCGGGAGGGAAGCTCTCCCTGATTGCCCTTCCGGACGCCCTGTCACATTGCCGCACACAGCCTACCGTCAGTGGTCAAGGCCTTAGGAACAGCCTCGCCGTGAGGCCGGGATCGGGAAAAGTGACACTCAGGTGCCCGGACTGAGCCCAAGAGAATCCACCAGCTGGCTGAAGGCAGGGTCCCTGGCATCTCTTCGGTGTCTCTCGCAGGGCCACAAGCCGGGGGGACGGGTGACTGCGGAGAGATCGGAGTCGGGAGGGCTGGAGCGGCCCCCAGCCAGAGCTGTGGCGTGGGCACGGCTTCCTCCCAGAAGGGAAATGACCCACAGACCTCCCCAGGGTTGTAGAGATGCAGTGAGATAAAGTAACTCTAGGCGTTCGGCACATTGGACCGCTCCCCGGGAGCTCAGTGGCTCTGGGCCCGGCGGGGCATAGAGTACCTTCCGAAACGTCTGGGTGCAAAGTTTGGTAGCCCGCTGGCTAGCTTCGTGCCTTGAACATCACTGTGCCTCAGTTTCTTCATCTGTAAAGTGGGGAGAAGAATGACAGCCGCTGCCTTTGGGTTATGCCGACGCCATGAGTCGATGCACACAAAGGACTTAGATTGCGCTCAGCATAAAAGCATTGCTCCTGGTTGTCAGCGGCTACTGTCAATTAGCCATGTGATTTCACAAAAGGGGGCAAATTCCCTGGGCCTTTGTTTCCTTAGCTGCAAAATGGGGCGGGGGGGGGACAGGAGCTGGGGTATATTATGTCAAGAATCTGGAGTATTAGTTTCCTACTGCTGCTTTAATTTATCACCACAAATTTAAAAGGACACCAATATCTTACAGTTGGTGAGGTCCAAGTCTGGAATGGGTCTCACCAGGCAGATCGCGGGGCTGGGTTCCTCCTGGAGGCCCTAGGGGGACGATCTGTTCCTTGATTCCAGGGGCTTCTGGGGGCAGCTGGTTGTCCTCGAATCTACATCCAGGGGTCTCTGTGAGCCTGGGGGACCACCACCCCAGGGCCCTTTACACCAAACATAGTGACTTGGTTAACGAGGGTCGGGGTGGCTTGGCTGGTCTACACAATCACCACTGGGCCCTGGTGGGTCTGTATCTCGAGCTTCGTTTTCCAAAGCAGGGTGGAGGGTGGAGAACAAGATTTGCACAAAAATCTATGTAAGGCAGCCACTGAGAAGGTATTATTGGCTGTTGCAAGGGGATACAATCCCCTAGAATGACGAACGCAGGACGAGAAAACCAGGAAGCCTAGGAACGGACGTTCTCACAGTCTTGTCTGCCCTTGACCTCCACGATCATTCGCTGCAACGCGTCTCTGCTCTTCCTGCCACTAACGGTAAATCAGATCAGGTGGCCGCCAACCAGGCAAATGAGAGAGGAGAGGAAGCTCCAGAGAGGATGCTCCCTTCCGCCATCTTGGTTCACCATTGGCTCTTCAAAGTCTGTGCCCGCAATGAACTTGAACCTACAGTATGTGATACAAAATGAAGCACTTTTTTTCTTTTCTTTTTTTCTTTTCTTTTCTTTTTTTTTTTTGCAGTCGGTATCAGATCTTCTTTCCTCCTCCTGAGGCCACACATTTCCTCAGGCCTGTGCTGCCTGAGTCACTGCTTTTCTGATGCACATAATTTACAACAGCAGATGAGGGAGAACAGCGGGCCAGGGGGGCGGAAAGTACAGTTAGGTCTAAAATGAGAAGCAGTTGAAAAGTTTGCATTTCCTCTTCTCTTGTGCATTGAAATACAAATCATACCAGTTGATTCCTGATAATCACGGAGAGACTGGTGGGAGGGGGGGCGGAGCCAGAAGCCGAGGACTTTCCATCATTCTTGCCAGTTCTTTCCGGTCACGTTGGCCGTGCTGTGGGCCCACGGCTCCTACCGAATAAGTGTCTGTGGAGAGTGTCACCCTCCCAGGGGACATTCTCCTTTGCGCTACGGGTCGAATCTCAATTTCTGGCTCTCCTCTAGGCTCGTGCTGCTATTAAACCTTCATAAGTTGCAGGATTTCATGGCCAAACAGATTCCGCCGGGAGCAATGTGTTTAAAAGAACATGAAAAAAAAAAAAGGGGGCATAATTATGAGATCCTTTCTTCATTCTCCCTTCAACTCGTTTTCAATAGGTGGAGACTAGACGCTAGGTTCGGGAGAAAGCCCATCAGCGGGTTTATTTCTGCTTGAAAACAGTCCTGGGGAGAAACAGACTTTCAAGGCCTCAGTGGAGAATGGAGACCACTGAGCTAAGGCACATAGTGCTACTTTTAAAGCCAGCCACTAAGGAAAACTTGGTATTATTTTTAAATAAAAGCTTATCAAACACCAGGAGGGAAGAACAGCACAGCACGCTATTTATTTCTCTCCTGCCACAAACACACATTAAAAAGGACATAGGGCTCAGCTTAGTCCCTGGAACCGGGAAGGGAGCGGGAGCCAGGTCCTGGCTGTGGCTTTCCGGCTGGCTATCAACCCACATTGATGGAGTGCTTACCAAGAAATGGGCTTTGTGTTGCATGCTTTGAGTAGATACATGCTTTTGTTTAATCTCCCCCATGTTCTTATTAATAAGTAGCTATAGTAATCTCAGTTTTTTAATGTTTATTTATTTTTGAGAGAGAGAGAGACAGAGCATGAGTGGGGAGGGGCAGAGAGAGTGAGGGAGACACAGAATCCGAAGCAGGCTCCAGGCTCTGAGCTGTCAGCACAGAGCCTGATGTGGGACTCGAACTCCCGAACCGTGAGATCATGACCTCAGCCGACGTTGGCCGCTCAACCGATTGAGCCACCCAGGCGCCCCGCTTCTCTTCTGTTTACCCCAAAGTAAAAATGAAGAATCAGAACCTCCCAGAACTTCGGAGCTGCAGAGAACTCGGGGATCACTGCCCGACCCCTTCACATCACGGGAGGGGAAGCGGAGACTTAGACAGAAATGTCTCCTCAGTGGCACCAAACCAGTTAGTTCCTGAGGCAATCTTAACACCCCATTGTTCTTTCCACGTTCACAAGCCATCACAAGCCTGACTTCTCGCGTATGAAACGCATGCATTGTCGGCAGTGTTTTGAACATTACGTTTTATGTGTGAGCAAACAGCATCGCAAGAACGGCATTTTAAAATGGTGCTATGATGGGGCGCCTGGGTGGCTCAGTCGGTTAAGGGTGGAACTTTGGCTCAGGCCATGATCTCACAGCTCGTGGGTCCGAGCCCCCCGTCGGGCTCTGTGCTGACACCTCGGAGCCTGGAGCCTGCTTCGGATTCTGCGTCTCCCTCTCTCTCTGCCCCTCCCTTGCTCATGCTCTCTCTCTCTCTCTCTCTCTCTCTCTCTCTCTCTCTCTCTCTCTCTCTCTGTGTCTCTCAAAAATAAAATAAAAACATAAAAAAAATTTTTTTTAATGGTGCTATGAAACCACAGCTTCCCAAAGGTTTCACGCGTGTGGTTCCCAGAGGGATACTCATCTGACTGGGGGCACGTATATTTTTATACATTTTTAGGACAGAAAGGGAGGAGAGTGGAGCGAGATAAGGAACGCGGTGAGGGATGGTCTCTCCTCGATGTGTCCGCCGAGGGTCCTGGACCCACAAGAATCTGGGCGCCTGCTTGAGGGCGGTTGTCCAAGCAGCCCGGAGGTGTTGACTTCACTAGGTTAATCCGATTCAGATGTTTTTAGATGTTGTCGGCACTGGCCATATAAAGATGAACAATACGTGGGTTTGCCCCGGAGAACCTAAAGTCCCGTGGGGAATGAGGACCGATTCACAAATAACTCCATTACCGGATCCGACGCGGTGGGTGTTAGGGCAGGCCCCGTGGAGCCATTTGGGAGCCCGGATGATAAAGAAATGATTCCAACAGGAAGAGGGCACCCCGGGCAGGTTTGGGGAGGCGGCGGCATCCGAGCTACGCCCTGAAAGACTGGGGGATGTCAAGGCGGGGAGAGGAATGAGAAAAAAAGGCCTCGCGGGCCCAAGACTCATGTGCACAAAGGCTGGTGGAGGGGGGTGGGGGGAGTGGGGGGTAAACGCCAAGCAGCCCTGGAAGGAGGGGAGGTCCGGGGCAGGGAGAGCAGCCTGATGGGGTGGCCGGAGGCCCCACGGGGGGCGGGGGGAGGACAGACCCTCCTAGTCCAGAAGGAAGGGGACTTGTTATTCATCCAGGGCCTCCCTCATCACCGGAGTGTCTCGCCTTGTCCTCAGGAGTCCATGGATCTCACGCCTCCTCTCTTCACCACGCTACCTGGACA